TTATCACTCTAAACTAAATAATGTGAACATAGTTCTTATCGAATGTAAGATAACCACGCTGATTCATTGACTTCCACTTTAGATAATCTAAAATAAGCCTCCTTATGTCTCACTAAATAGGATAAATTTATTGCCACCTTGATTGTTCATCTAGAATAAACTCTTAGATACCTTACAGCTTCTGCATAAGCCAAGACAGATGGTCTATAGGCCGGAATTAAAAGTATATAGCTATATTATTTCGATTGGTTTTAGCTGTATTTTATCGTGTGCTTTTGGTAGACATGCTGAAAAGATATCTACGAATAAAATGGTATGCTAGTTTTGAATCGAAGAGGATAAATATGCAAGTTTTTATTAGACTTTGTCATGAATTCATTATCCTTAGATTACCCAAGGCTATTCCCTTGAATGATCCAGGCGACAACAAACAGACCTCTCTGACCCGACCTCGGCAAACGGCTGGTGGATCTTCCTTGAAACAGTCAAATATTTCGTTCAACCTGAGACTAAAGGTAGAAGAGGAGCCAAATGATGAATACAATGATACACTCCTGGCACGCGAGAAGATCGCCAATACGATATGGCTATTGGCAGGCCTGTCCGAAGATACCCGGCGTGTGACCAGCGCTTCAATCGGGATCCAGACATTGATCGAATTTATTGAGGCAGGTTCGCTCTCAGTTTTGCAGTCTGAATGTTTTCATGTGGTATTAAGTCAATGCTATATTGTTTTGTGAAAAGTCATCAGTGTGCCATTGACTAACCAAAATCAACTAGCACCATATTCTATATGGGTACCCGTGACTGTGTCGGTAGAGGGTAACGTGTCGCGACTTTACGTTAAGGAGCTGTTTTAGAATCCCGCTAGAGTACTAATAAGGTCTAGGCGAGGTATACACTGTGGCACCCTTAATAAGAAAATATGTTGTCGAGGCAAGGCTAATTGAATGTCAAGGGTTTCTTGAAGCTTACTTATTCCATCTAAGCAAAATTATACTATCAGCTCCAAAATCACTTCTTATTCAGATGAGTCATGCTTTTCTAGATCTTATTCAAGATCTACTGATAGTTTTACTACCTAATCCTTATGAATATTTCCTTAGTTATGCCTTCCTTTCGAGAATGATCGGACCCTCTTTTAAAATCATGTGGTTGCAAGATTTTGGGCTCATGTGTTCGGTTCTACATAAAGAATACTTGCCAGCACATCCAGAAAAGATTGCATTAACACAAGACGACCAGCAAGGGTAGAAAGATTTGATCTGATGTGAAAAGTCTGAGTACAGCTAACACAGGACCTCAAAATAATAGTCAGAATCACAGCGTTTTCCACTCTGCAGGGATTTCAAACTTAAACGTAAGATGTAGGGAAAAAAATAAACAAACTAAATTCAACTACTAGTTCTTTTCAACCTTTACGAAACAGGGTGACTATATCTCAAGCAAAAGGGCCAACGTCCTGAAAAGAAATTACGAGTGTAGGTGATTGAATGATCCCTATGATTGTCTATGTGAGGGACCTGGTGAAAAAAAATAGAGGAGCTGAAAGCAGGAAAAGCCGCTGAGTGTGAATAGCCTAAATCTGCTTAGACCTCTAATATGACTCTGGAGCATTGCACACATATAATAAACATCCTCATAAACCGAAAAATGCGCCAGCATTGCAGAATTCGAGGCTAGTTTATTTAAGGGAGGAAAAAGCAATGACCAAATCTACATTCCTCTCATGCACCAACTTTGCTCATCTGCAAGCAGGTAGGGTTAGCACAACTTAAGCATCACTGAGTGCCTAAGAGACTGATTGTCTTAGCCTGGTTTTGGTTATAATTAGTTCGTGTTGTCTGTAAATGCTTTCATTAAACCTTGTTTTGACCTAAATACTCGATACCTGATCCAGTTCCCCATTGGTGGAGTTAGATAGATCAAAACGTCTACCGAGAAAGCAAAAGCTAGGAACAGCATTATGATAAATATAAATTTTTAGAAATCTAATTATATTAACTTTCCTGGTGACCAAATCATTATATATATATATATATAAATATATAAATATATATATTTATTTATTTATATCCATATATTTTCGTTCTTAATTATGAATATAAGATATAAGAATGAGCCGGACAGATTTCTTGTCCTAGTGTTAATTTGAGACTTTTACAAGAATGAGTTCCAACAATGAGGATGTCCGTCATATGCTGAACGAAAGCTCAGCCAGTTTTCACTTGAAACGAGAGAGGATGTCTAGTAGACTGCATTAATGTAAATTTAAAATTAACGCAAAGTGGCTGCAGAACATCGGAAATTGTCCGTCTGACAAATCCCTTCACATGTACCTTCGTAATAATTGAAAATATCTTCAAAAATGCTATCTTAAGAATGTCATCGAAACCCAGCTACTTTACGAAGTTAGATCACACTTATGGTCCAACTTACTATCAATTGGCTCCTCGCTACACTGCAATGAAGAAAACTATAGTCTGGCAGGTTGCTAGAATTAGCTTTCTAAAATTTTGTAATTCTTATAACATTCTTCCCAGATTTTGTTTTCTCGATAGACGTTTTCATTTACCTTGCTCTACCAATAGATAACTGAATTAGGTATCGAGTGGTGGTTTAATGCGAAACTTAAGGAAGGCATTAACAGACTACATAAACTAGTTAGAACCCAAACAAGGCTTACACAATTCCTCCATCAGGTAGTGACCGATGTTGATTTTCTTAAGTTAAAGGAGATAGCAAACGATTGAGGAAAGGCCACCGATAGAATGCTAAGGGAGTTGAAATTAGATGGATGGATGGATCTTAAAGCTATGTTTTAAATAAATTTGTAAAGTATGATATTATTATAGATATGAAGACCTAGATGTTGTGGCCTTCTGTCTGGCCTCAGTCTCCTTTAGCTTTATAGTATTGGTTCGAACTTGCTTACGCAACTTGGTCGGAGCGTCAGGGAGACCTTGTGGAGCTTACCTAATCCCGTGTCATCTGTAATATTATTCGTGATTTTCATCATTTGACAATTGGCTGGGTACCTTTACAAACGGATAACACAGTCATGGGTTTGAAGCCTAGGGAGAGCAAGACGCCCAGGCACTGGAATGGGCATGAATAATCGATGATGGGAATTGGAGGCCCTTAAACATCCAAACAGTGATTTTCATGTTGAGCAGCGACCAGGTAACATGCGGGGTAGGAAAAAGAGGGGGGCAGAATGTAGGTCAGGAACCCTGCAAAGGGCACCCGGTACCGGAGGTGAAGATGATTGTGCTTCACTAAACCCACTTGTATCGACACACTCTTGGGCGAAATTGGAGGAAACGAGAGCACAGAATTGTGTGAATAAGTATATAAGCCATATGAAGTGGGGCTGATAGAAGAGATGCAGCACTAGAAGATAGAACAAAAAAATAGAGACATGGAATGATACCACAACAGTTGAACAGAAAATTGGTCAAGGGTATTGCCTTCAATTGTCCCTTTGATAAGTTGTAAAACTGTGTTTACGCTGGCGCTTCTCCCTGACAATGCCGGCAAAATGTTTGGGAATACACCAAGTCAATTGTCCAGTGCTGGAATTCACGAGTACTATGACGGAGGACACAGGACTCGGTATGTTCCACTAGGTCTTCCTGACACTCCAATCAAGTTGCGAAAACAAGGTCGAACCAACATTATAAGATGATTAATTTATCTATTATAAATCTGAAGGATGGTGTGGAAATATTAATGGAAAGATGATGGAATTTCGATTTTATAAATAAAGTAAACGATTTTTTGGACATAATTGTTGACTCGGGTTGCCTGAGGAGGTGAAGAATAACATTGAGTTGCAGGCAATTCCTCATTTTGGTCAGATAGTAACGCCAGCGAAATCTTGCGTTCTCAATAAAGTTTCTAGATATTTATGTGACAATAGTCTAATTCTTATGAATGCCAACAAAGGTGGAGCAGACAGTGCGAACAGGTCAATGAGAAGAAAAGTTCGGTTTCGACGATTCCATTGTTTCACAATTGTTGAGCTTCCTTTCCGAATGAAACTGTTTGCTGAAGAGAGTCAACGGTCGATCTTACCAAAAGACGACGGCAGATTCCTCTTGACCAGCTGTCGATTGGCTTTACTGGAACATTATTGATTACGCTGTTT